TAAATCCATTTAACTTCTCTAAAATATAATTTTATCCATTAATTTTTTCAACAATTAGCATAATTAGTTCCAAATTATCCGAAAAGTGCCAATAAACTGATTAACACGAGTTTTGACCTTTGACCTGATAGGACACAGACTACCAATTATTTTGCTATACATTCCTTTATAACATAAAAAATATTTTAAAAAAATACACCGGCTCAACTTACCTGAAACTTGGCACAGAGTAAGACCATTTCAAGTCCAAAAATTTACCAAGTTCCCAGGAACATTCATAGTCTGCAAGTCCTTTTATGGCATTGCAAATAACCCCTACCCTGCTTTTTTCACTTTCTCTTCGAGGAAAGGGTAAATATGGGCCTCTTTACACCCTTCCTACTACGCACTTAAAAGCAAAATTTCCCATTATTATCATTTTTATAATTTTTTTCAGACCCTCTCCTTTCCATTTATGCCCAAAAATAACCGCTTTCTACTCCATAAACACCCCAAAGAATTTTTAAGAAAAAACCTCTATTTTTAAACTGGAACTACTTGAGTGGTCAATGAAATAGGGGTAAAATTAGTAGTCTGTAACCTTTTGCAAGATTTTCAATCTTTAAAAAAAATGACAAAACGAACAACAAAATCAGCAGTAATTAATTCCTAATAACATGATTTTTTGTATAGCAAAAAATAAAAAGATCTCTTTAACTTCATTATAAATAAAATTTGATTTTTATTGCTTGCAGGCTTTACAATTTGTTATTATTCTTTTCCCCTTTCTTGTTTGAAGAAGGAAATGGAATCAGCCGAGATTTGCCGAAAGCTCTCGGCGAGTCAAAGTTTACGGAGATGACCGAGCGACAACCGTGGTAGGGCTAATGCCAGTAAAAAGCTAATGTAGAAATACAAAATCAAGAAATTCAAAAGAATTATACGGCCTGATAGGTGTAGATCAGTTTACAGTTTAAGATTGTTGCTAAAGACGGGAAGCTTTTTAAAAAAGCTCTACTTGTGTAATGATATAATCATAGATCGAAATAGTCAGCGTGATAGAGAGCTTCCTGTATAGGGATATTTGATTCGTTGTCTCCTGCTGACGAGCTTGTGCGGTCCGGGAGCTGGAGTGCCCATAAATATTGAGACCATCTGCATCTCCATCTGTGCCTGCATTTGATAGAGTTGTAGTTGGAACTGCCGCTCACTTTCCATTCGTCTTTGTTCGGCTTCGTCCTCCAGCCTCCTTCTCTTCTCTTCCTTATCAAATTGGTATTTAGTCTGCCTCTCCTCCATGTCAACGAGGGCATGTACGAAGTTATCTATAATTTTAATGATATAATTTCAGAATGAAATCCCTTTTTAGGAAGGATAATATACAAAACAAGAAATTGGATATCTGGCTTCGTATATATTTTTGACCTAACTGAAATAACCATTTACTTTATATGAACATTGTTAAGTTGTATATATATATATATATATATATATATATTTATTCATAATTAATGGGGGAGGGAGACTTACTAAGGCTTTCATCCATTGTTCTCTTTCTTGTTTTTTCCTTCGATAAATTTTTCTGCTTGATTTCCGACCTTGAATGCTCTAATGTCATAAAACATAGTAAATCTGAATGTAAGGTTCTGAATATAAGATTATAAGTAAGATTTCATTTGAGAAAATGCTATCTAGCAATAATTTTTCAGTTTTGTCAGTTAATTCATTTTTCAAACGGTTTCACCCCCACCCCCATCCCGGACCATTTCTGAGTTTCATATTGCTCTGGACATGCATGTATGGTAAAATTGTCTTATTTGTTGATAGATATATGTACTATACTAGTATTTAAACTCCATCAAAGTTTGATTTGCCAGTGACATCAAATAATAATAATACCTCCATTCTCTCCGTCTTTCTTTCCATTGTCTTCGTCCTTCTCCACTTTGACGATGGCTTTCTCTGCTGTGTCCTTCTTCTGGTCTTGAAAATACATGTACATATATAATTATTTCTAAATTTACTATTTAAAAAAATTGTGAAAAATGAATTCAGATAAACATGCTACTCACCATTATTTGTATCGACTGCAACCTTTTCTTCCACGTTCTCAGTAGTGTCGACAAGGACGGATGGTTCTGTGAGAGGTTTCGATCCAAGGAATTCGTCCAGCTTGTCAAAATAGACAAAGCGACTTCTGGACTGGCCTGAAGTATTATTATGGAGCTTTGCCCTCAAGTATGCCTGCCTTAGTCCTTTAATTTTGGTTCGACAGGATTCCCAGGTCCTGTCAATTCCTTTCCCTCTCAAAGCTAAAAAAATCAGTTATCTGTTATGCTGTACATCCAAATATTTTTACCGTAGCCTATAATATATTGCTTTTTGCATTAATATTTACAATGAAATGCTATTACCACTGGCAAATTTAAGGGGGGGGGGGCGATGGGGGTGGGGCGGGGGTACCCTCCTGAAATTGTCAAAGTATGATATGAATAATAATGCCATACTTTGGTACAATACTTTGGCATTCACCCTCTGGGCCCCCTTCATTCAAACTATGATACTAGCATTAATGATGTCATGATTTGGTACATAGCTAACAAATACTAATACCACTATTATATATATTGTGCCTTGTTTTTCTCGCATTAAAATACACGAAAACTCAGGGGCTTCTTGGCCCAATGGGGCTTACGTATACATGTACTACAAACTGCACTACTAAATTTCAATATCTAATCGGTATAAACATGAAACATTTTGATTTTGGAAGGGGGTATAGGCTAAACGTACTATTGAATTAAATGATAGAATATAGATATAAATTTATGTAGATCTATCAAGTTAATTAAGATAAATAAATTTAATATCTACATACCAATGGCAATTTTTTCATAGACATGCTTGTTTCTATAAACTCCGGAAAAATCATTAGAAATTTCTTCTGACGCCCAACTTTCAATGAGTTCAATAATATTTCCTCGCTGTTCCAGTTAATTCCTCGCGTCTCCTTCGCCATTATTATGCCAAGTGCACTTTATGGCGTAATTTTTATGCATATTGCGCAAAATAATATTTTTTGACGTCATATGGCTCCAAAATTCACGACATAATTTTATCAATGAAAAGAATCTCCATGGTAGATTTCTCTGTGGATCTTAAGCAAATTATCGGAGGTCATTTTTCGTTGGGGGGGGGGGGGGGGCTTTTGTGTCTGATTTAATGCGTTGATAAATCATTTGTGTGTCTTTTTATATAGCATTACTTTATGTCAAAACATTAGAAAGGGTATAGACACAATAATATCCCTTTATACCTGATGACAATACTGTTTTATCTCAGTTTTATTTTTATACGCCCGTCTTAAGACGGGACGTATTATGTTATAGGCTTCGTGTCCGTCCGTCTGTCCGTCTGTCTGTTAGCTTTTTCGTTTCCGGCTCATAACTTTAATACTATTAGGCCTAGGATTATCAAACTTTGTCATCTGATGCATCTTGGGTAGAAGGTGTGTCGCGCACAAAAAGTAGGTCGCTCTGACCTTTAAATTAGAAGTTATAGCCAAATATGGAAAATCCTTTCCGGTCCATAACTAGAAAACTATACATTGTAAGACTTACAATCATCAAACTTGGCCAGTTTATGCATCTTAGGTAGAAGGTGTGTCGCGACCTATTTCAAGGTCACTGTGACCTTTAATTTAAGTGAAATTTTAAAAATAAATGTGTCTTTTTACTATTCATTTACACATTCCAAATAATGTAAGAGTATTGATTTGTCCTTATTAAAAAAGTGTTAAATCAAGAAAATACTTATTTTTTAAGCATATACTTGATGACAGCAATCTATAACAAATATAATGTACGTTAGAGAAATCCTACCTCTCCCTTGAGTGTAATTATCAAGCACTGGCCAAGAAGAATTTTGATAACAGAAAATTGCATGTCAAATTAGAGAGAAATTAATGAGTTTTGAGTGTGAGGAGTTAACTTTATAGAGCATCGGTGTTATCTATGTCCCTTGAGTATTGGGCAAATGGATAAGAATAGCTCTTAATTGTTGGCTAGCCCAAGTTTTTAAATGAATTTGATGAAAAGTAATTAAAACTAATTTGATATTGCAGAATGGACTAATCTGATATTTTATAAAAATATTATTAGATTAAAACCTAGTAATTTTATGTGGTGGAATCAGCATGTCCATATGAATTACATATGAAAACCTGTCGGACATTAAATCTCAACCAAAAAAAAAATCTTTGAGTATTTTATATGTTTTAAAAAAAAATTTATGGTAGATAGTGAAGAACCATTCATCTCTTGAAAGTAATGAGTAGACAAGCATCCAGTTAAAGATTAATTAATGAGTTCAATGTAGGAAGGCTGGCTGTATCCTTTTGGGATTAGATAGAAGAACTGCTGGTCAGTTTATAGCATATGTCATTTGATGGCCAGCCTTTTCTTTTCAAAATTAATTTGGTATAGATTAAGATGTTAAGACTAAATTGATATTGTTTAATATGATGGGCATTCGACAAGGTCTAACACAACCAGCACAGAAATCTATCAATGATGTAAAATTTATTATAATTAATCATCAAAATCTTAGAATCATAGTTGACATGACTTTCTTGCACCTAAACTGTGCAAGAAAATTGTAATTTTTTGACGGGCGTATCATGCTGTGGCACGGCACTTTATTATTTTTCTTTTTATAATTAAAATAATTAAATAGGCCTATATGTGCATGGAATAAACCTTTGAAAATAGAGTAAAGGTGCAGAAAATATAAGGTAGGCTGAGATATACATGCAGCCTACAAATTGAAAAATACATAAAATCATTGCATTTTTTGGAGAGAGTAGCATGATTTTCTTCATTTCTTACCTAGAAAATGTATTAGTACCCATATCTGACCACTGGCAGGTGGTATTTGACCCATTTCTACCCTTACGCATGCGTCAAAATTTAATTCGAATTAGCTTCGCTTTGCGTTCACACGGAGCTAATGCGAAGTAATTTAATGCGCAGTAAACTAATTCGAAGTAAACTAATTCGCATTAAATTCTCCGTGTGAACGCTAAGCGAAGCTAATTCGCAGTAAATTTACGTTTAATTCGAATTAAACTCTCCGTGTGAACAGGGCATAACAAGATACTCATTTTACTCTTGATGATTATTCACAAGTTAGATCTCTTTGGGGCTATGATGTTTACATATCACCTGGTCAATCAAATTCTAGAGGTGTCGCAATTTTGTTCAACACTAATTTTGAATATAAAATACTAAATGAACAAAAAGATAAAGCAGGTAACCTGATTGTTCTGGAGATTAATGTATTTAATAAATATGATATTTTATTAGTAAATGTATATGGACCGAATAATGATGATCCAAAATTTTTCCAATCAGTATCTGACATAATTTCAAATTTTCAAGGAGAATTTGTAATTTGGGGTGGAGATTTTAACCTTGTACAAGATGCAAATTTAGATTACTTTAATTATGATAATGTAAATAATAAAAAGGCAAGGGAAACAGTTCTGAATATGAAAGTTGAGCATGGTTTGACCGACCCTTGGAGAGTGAAACATGAACAACGTAAAAGGTATACTTGGTTTAAAAACAATCCTCTTAAAAAAGCTAGACTTGATTTTTTCCTATTATCTAACGAACTTTTTGCTTTATTAGATAACGTTGATATTATACCTGGGTATAAGTCTGACCACTCAATGGTTTCTATAGAAATTAAATTGACCAAATTTGAAAAGGGGAAAGGATTTTGGAAGTTTAACAATTCTTTACTCAGGGATCAGTCTTATGTAGACATTGTAAAAAATACTATACGAAAAGTAAAGGAACAATATGCTGTCTCTCCGTATAATCCAGTATGTATACATAAAATTGAAAATGAGGAATTATCTCTACTCATAGATGATCAATTATTTTTTGAGCAACTTTTGCTGAGTATAAGAGGTGCTACAATTCAATATTGTTCTATAAAAAAGAAATTAAAAAACGAAAAAATGAATTTACTTGAAAACAAAATAAAATATTTAGAATCACTGAGAAATATTAATAGCTCAACAGAAATTATAGAAAAATTAAATGCTGCCCAAAATAGTTTAGAAGAAATAAGAAAAGAATATATAAAAGGGCTTTTTGTTAGAACAAAACTTAAGTGGATTGAACAGGGTGAAAAACCGACAAGATATTTTCTTAGTTTAGAAAGAAGAAATTTTATTAATAAAACTGTGAACCAACTCATGCACAGCAATGGTAATATTATTACTTCACAGGAAGAAATTTTATCAGAAATTGAGAAATTTTATAAGAACCTATACTCTTGCTTTGATAATAAATTACAAGATGTGAATCTAGAACATATAATTAATAAAGATGATATCAGGGTTCTGGATGACAACATGTCCAATAATTTAGAAGGATGTATAACATATAAAGAAGCCCTATCTGCGTTAAAAAAAATGAATAATGATAAAAGTCCAGGTAGTGATGGCTTTACAGTAGAATTTTTCAAATTTTTTTGGAAGGATCTTGGAAGCTTTCTTATCAGATCAATAAATTTTGGATTTAATGAGGGAGAATTATCCATAACTCAGAAACAGGGAATTATTTCTATATTACCGAAAGGTGATAAACCAAGAGAATTCCTTTCAAATTGGCGACCAATATCACTTCTTAATACTACATATAAAATTGCTTCATCATGTATAGCAAATAGGAATAAAAACGTTCTTAACTATTTAATTCATGACAATCAAAAGGGCTTTCTTAGAGATAGATTTATTGGGGAAAATACTCGAATGGTCTATGATGTAATTAATGCCACATATGAAAATCATATACCTGGTCTGATATTACTAATAGATTTTGAAAAAGCATTTGACTCCATATCATGGAAATTTATGTACAATACGTTGCAATTTTTTAATTTTGGCCCTGACCTTATTAA